TCTATCCATGAGATTTGTCATATTGGTCCACCAGGTCCAATGAGGATGACCGCATCACTACATAGTATAAAACAAAGTCGCTGTTACTGTTTCTCCGTCTCTATGTATGTTTAAATATTTAAAACTACGCAACGGATTGTAGCGGTTTTTTTAATGGATAGAGTGATTCAAGAGGAAGGTTTATATTTATAATACATGTACACCCGGGCGAAGCCGGGGCGAGTAGCTAGTAAAGTATATTTCAAATTCAAATTCAAAAATCAATTATTCGTGTAGGACATTTTAGCCGCTTATGAAGGTCAAATTTTTTATATTATAATGTTTTCACTACCAATCAGTTCACTATATAGATCCAATTGAGAAGAAATTTAATTGAATTACTTTTTTTTCAAGCCAGTTTGTTTACAATGTAGGTATATGTGGTAATAATAAATCTCCCACTATATAAATAACAGTTCAGTTCCCAAACTATACAAGTAAAACTGGTCCAGTACGTAATTACGCGTTACGTGACCCAACAAGAGGTCAGCAACAATAATTAATGTGTACATTTCACGGCACACGGCAGCCATCTTGCGTCCCGCTGAGAAATGCCAACACAAATAATTACATACTTTTATTTTTATTAACTAAATATAACTACCTATGGGATTTTATTTGATTTCTTTCGTATTTATTTTTTTATTTGCATTCCATGTAATATATACATATCATTACATAGTATAAAACAAAGTCGTTGTCGCTGTCTGTCCCTATGTATGCTTAAATCTTTAAAAGTACGCAACGGATTTTGTAGCGGTTTTTTAATAGATAGAGTGATTCTAGGGGAAGGTTTATATACATAATACATGCGTGTATTATGTAACATAATACGTAATACATCCCTTGGGAAGCCGAGGCGAGTAGCTAGACTTATATACAAAATTCTCGTGTCACAATGTTAGTTACCATACTCCGCCGACACGGCTTGACCGATTTTTATAAAATATATGCAGCTGCAGGTCTGTGAATCGGCTACTATCTATTTTTCATATCCCTCAGTGATAAAGGTTATCCAACCCTAACATTTTTTTTTTAATTTTTATAATACAGCTGTAAAAATACACACAAATTCACCCTTCTATCACCAACCTCTATTTTTTAATAGCGATTTTAATTTGTATGGCAAAACAATGTTTGCCGCGTCAGCTAGTAGTAATACATATATGCATATTGCTTTATGAAAAAAATACATTTAAAATGAAACGTTATGGTTATATTCTGAAGTAACAAATTTGTGTTAATTACTTGCTATTGTCATATACAATATACATATGTATATATTATTAATTTCTTTATGTGTTTCATATCTTTACATACTATAAAATAGTCGCTGTCCGTTCCTTTATATGCTTTAAATTGTTAACCGTTTACCATCACATGGGCCGCATACTAGTTTTCCACCTACGTAGTACTCGTAAATAAAAAAAATAAGTTGTAAATATTTTTTTAATAATATATTAAACAATAAATAAATGAATATTGACAATGCCTCTGATAAGTCTCGATGGTATTTTTATATGAGCAATACATTTGAAAAACGTAACGTGCATTTTTATAACAATCACGTCAGTCACGTGACATGAAAAAAATATAAGTTATTTGCGCTGAGTTCGTGCCGTGTTGCCGTGTCACAGAATTACAATAGTACACCGTCCCTTTCAGGGTTCCGTATACAAAGGATCCCAAACGGAACCCTATTGTTATAGCCGTCTCTATCTGTTGATATAACTGACTCTGAATTGATCCCGTCCAGACCCATAGTTGAAAATCTAGTTAAGTATATCATACAGGACTGATAATATATTTATGAATAAAAACATATTTTCTTTATATATTTTTTTTTGTTGAGGCTTTTAGGCTAATGTCAGGTGATAAGACTCACTGCGACTTGCATAGATCTATTGTGCTCGCCCTTTCTCGAAGTTCACTACCTAGACCAGCCAGGCACAAGAATTGAAGGATATTCTTAGATGGTTTTTATCTTCTCAGGATAGTGTATATACTTTCCAAATGATATATTCCGTTTATGCATGAGTGGATTACAACTACATGCGATATATAGTTGTTCCTTGATTCACTTGTCATTTCTTCTCAATTGAATCTGTAGATTAAAGTGGACTGTATGGAAAATCCAATATAAGCAATTTTTCATACACGATTCAATATATTACTATGAATATTAATAATGGATAATTTTGCCTTTAATTTGGTAATATTATGATGATAGTTGAATAAGACGATACAAATGGGAAGAACTTAACCATAAGTAGACTTGATACAAAGTCATTTCCGTTTCGTGTTCGACCTAATTCTGCCTTTTATTCTGAGAGTTGAGATATGTCAGTGAAATTACAGGGTATAGGAATATAAAACTTAAGTCCTCAAGAGTGTAACACATAGGAGAAAAGCCCAGGTATATACTCCTTTTAAGTTCAACAGTTTAGTTTAAATTGCACTCTATTTTGAATATTATATATATATATACATACATACAAACTAGCGCGTAATTTCATCACACTTACTTGACATTTACCATTATATTTCGCCCAATTTACATAATATCTTTTTAAATTATAGCCTATGTGTTGTTCTAAAATATAAGCTATATTACTGTAATGTTTCATCAAAATCAGTTCAATAGTTTTTGCGTGAAAGAATAACAAACATCCATCCATTCATACTCACAAAGTTTCACGTTTATAATGTTAGTAAGAAAATCGTTAACAAAAGGCAGTGTTATAACTAACCATGGAATTATGGTAGACCACGCATGAATCATGTGGACGAATGGCGGTCCTCCACAGTGCGATTTTCCAGAAACTTTTTGCCACGCACAACCAGATTGTGGAATCATCTCCCAGAAATGGTATTTCCCATCCAATACGATATTAATACTTATAAGAAAAGAGCTTATTCCTTCTTAAAAGGCCGACAACTCATTTGCAATTCCCATGGTGTTGCGGGTGTTCATGAGCGGCGGTAATCACTTGCCATCAGGTGAGCCGTTTATCGTTTGTCTCCTGTGCTATAAAAGACAAAAAGCAATATCTAGAACGCTGCAAATAAGACAAATATTTATACATATTTATTTTGTACAGTAAATCTGTTTTACTGTACAAAATAAGCAATTTTGTACAACTCTTGTAAAATGTTAGCATTTTCTTCCAGTGTTTGTACATTTTGTATATAAATGAGAAAAATTCAAATCTAGCAATCGTAATACAAACCTGGATCGGTGTGGTTGAATTATTCATAAGTTCTAAGATGTTTCCTACATATGGACGTTTTGTGTTGTACCTACTCGCTTTTAATATTAATTTATCTCATAACATACCTACATATAAATAAAATTGGAGTGTCTGTTTGTAATATTGTAATAACCGTTTTTTACTACATGCATATCAATATAAATACGGTACATACCTACACCAAAATATCATTTTTTACAATTTTTGTCTGTCTGTTTGTTCCGGCTAATCTCTGAAATGGCTGGACCGATTTTGACGGGACTTTTTTTGGCAGGTAGCTGATGTAATAAAGAGTAACTTAGGCAATTTTTACTTCAGAAAATAAAGTTAAATTCCACGCGGACGAAGTCGCGTGTACAGCTAGTAACATATATAAATAGATTAAAAATGTATTTATATGCTGTGCTATGCTCTAGCATGCAGATGAGTAGAAGTTTCCAATACACACTACATGGAAGCATCACAGAACAGATTCGCTTATAATCTGCAGATTTTGGCAAACTTAAGAGGAAACACCACTACACATCCTATATGGTTATAGCCCACTCATGCATAAACGAAATATATCCTTTGGAAAGTTTACATTCTTTCCTGAGGAGATAAAAACCACCGACCCTAAGAATATCCTTCAATTCTTGTCCCTGACGGGTAACGAACTCTGAATACGGGCGAGCACAATAGATCTATGTAGGTCGCAGTGCTACACGTCTAAGCACCTGACAATAGCCCAAAGAAACCAATAAAAAAATGTGTTAGGACTGATCGCAAAAATATACTCGGAGACAAAACTGTACTTTATATTAATTGTCTAGTACTAATAATACAAGCTCTGCTTAGCTACGTACTAGATGGCGCTGTGAATTGTCAAATAAGGCTTAGGCTATTATACTGGAACAATAAAAGCAAACAACATGCAAATAATTTACCAACCAATCCGATTATAGTACGATTACTGATTGCGGATATACAAGGAACAGAAAAAAAAAACATGCAAATAATAATATCTGTTCTTTCTATACTGTGTTACTTTGATATCAAAATTAAAAAATCATTTGATTGATCATCATTGACGTCGGTGGTCTAGGATTAGTACACCGCTTTACTTCTAATGGCCGATGGTTCGATTCCTTGCACGGTACAAACATTTGTATTTGTATTGTTCATGAGTCTTGTCTTGAGTTACGGTCTGTGTGTTTTCTATGTATATTATGCATGTAAAAAATGTAAGTCCGTTGCGTAACTTAAAAGATAAGAGAACAGATAGCGGCAGCGACTGTTTTATACTATGTGAATATATTTTCTATATCTATTATAAATTTATACATTATAATAGTATAACTGAAGATGTGTGTGTACAGGAAGTTAGCGTATTTATGAAAATTTCACTAATTGTACACAAAATGGGATATTTTGTGTACATAAACTTATATAAGTTACATATATAAACGGAATATTTACCATTAATAATATTAATATTATGATGAGTAAATGTCTTGTTCATATACTGTGAACAATTTCAAACAACCGTGACAGAAGTTTTTAACAGTATTTGACCAATTGTTTATTGGCTAGTATTGTATAAACGAAATACTTACCTTTAGTAATATTAATATTACGATGAGTAAATATCTTGTTCATATATTATGAACAATTGTAAACAACCGTAATAGAAGTTTGAACCAGTGTTTGACCAAATGTTTATTGTTTCAGCAACAAGATGATAGACCCCAGCTCTTCAGAAGAAGACAGCGAGGATGAACATAAGAAGCAGCCTTCCAAATTACCCGGTGAGAACTTTGTTATAGCTATTCAAAGCAATTGCTAAAGTGAATCTAATTTAACCGGTTTTCGATATATAAAACAGCTCATAAAACAAGAGAAAGAAAAAAGAAAGAAAGAAAGAAAGAAAGAAAGAAAGAAAGAAAGAAAGAAAGAAAGAAAGAAAGAAAGAAAGAAAGAAAGAAAGAAAGAAAGAAAGAAAGAAAGAAAGAAAGAAAGAAAGAAAGAAAGAAAGAAAGAAAGAAAGAAAGAAAGAAAGAAAGAAAGAAAGAAAGAAAGAAAGAAAGAAAGAAAGAAAGAAAGAAAGAAAGAAAGAAAGAAAGAAAGAAAGAAAGAAAGAAAGAAAGAAAGAAAGAAAGAAAGAAAGAAAGATAGAAAGAAGGAAAGAAAGAAAGAAAGAGTGCGTAATAAACAAATATTTTTTTTATCCAATTACGAAAGAACCGCACGCGCCGCTATCTAGTAAGCAGCGTGTTGATTTAAAAAAGTAACATTTTTTCAATCCTTGTAAAAGATTTCTATCAGTTAACTATTATAACTATAACCAATAGTGCAAGGTCTGCTGAATTTGTGATTAGATGTCGTTCTGTGAATTGTCTTATATAATTATTATTAATCTGAAGGTTTTGTCCTGAAGCAATACCAAAGTAATAAAAACAAAACTTTAAACTACGAATAATTTAAATAAATTATACAAACAATCATCACTCGTAAATTATAAATGTTTGCACCGTGCAAGGAATCAAAGCCGTGGCAATCGGAAGTAAGGTCGCATGTTAAACTGCTAGACTACCGATTTTTTTTTCGGACTACTGTAATGCTGTTAGCCGCAGCTGGCCGTTACAGCTTCACCGGACGATAGGAGGCGAGTGCAGATGGCACTCCAAACTCGCGGAAGGACTTATGGAGCGGCTGAAGGGCAACTCCCGCCTGACGGATACGAGTTTAGCCTGAGGGCATCGCTAGGGGTTTTAACCTCGGCTTAGGCCGTCGTAATATCGATCCCCGTTTGGACGGGGGATCGATCAGAGGGGATTGATTGATTCTAGACCACCGAGATCATCAAATAACATATCTTGCAAAACTTATTCATAAAGAAAATTATTAGTGAGTAGTCATACGAATTTATAAATTATTTTAGCCTCGGGCCGTTTTGGGAATAGGGTATTAAATTGTAATTACCCCTCAGGGCTAACAAGGAAAGGGCAGTTTGCTTTTCATGGCCTTTATTATTTACAAAAACACGGCGCTCTTGTGTAGTTACTATTTAAAGATGTTTTCGCAAGTAGGCACGAATATAAATTTTATTGTAGCCTCCATTTTGATATTAAATGTTGGTAGTAAACAGAAATCATTTGTTTTCCAGAAATTTCCTTGTGTACGAACATCAAAATGAATTCATTATGTACAGAAACATATTGTATAATATTATAAGGATAATAGCTGGCCCGGTAAACGTTGTTTTGCCATATAAATTAATATTGCTATTAAAAATAGGGGTTGAATGTAGATAGGAGAACATTTGGAAGGGTATGTATTTTGATGTCACATCACTAAGAGAATAGATAATAAAAAATCAAAAGTAAAAAAATGTTAAGGGTGGACAATTCTTACCGATTCTTGGACCTACTGATTATGCACATAAAATTTCATAAAAATCGATCAGGCCGTTTCGGAGGAGTATGGTAACTAACACGTGACACAATTTTATATATAAAACTTGTATACATATTTACTTACAATTGATAATTACTTCATCATCATCATCATCGCAGCCCGGAAGACGTCCATTGCTGGACATAGGCCTCCCCCAAAGATCTCCACGACGATCGGTCCTGCGCTGCTCGCATCCAATGCTTTCCAGCGATCTTGACCAGATCGGTACACCTTGCTGGAGGCCTTCCCATGCTGCGTCTTCCGGTCCATGGTCGCCACTCGAGGACTTTATTGCCCCAACAGCCATCTACGAGTCTATCCTGCGGAAATTTGGACGAAAAGATATATCGAAGCTTCCCGAACGCTGCCATCCGAGTTGGATTCGACGATTGCCCTCTTTCTCGAAATTGAACCTACCTAGCTAGATAATTACTTCATTCATTGACAAAACAAAATGTGTTTTTTTTTGTACTGCTCGAGTAATAAGTTACTGAGCAAACAATTAATGAATTGAGTTTTTTGCGTTATCATAGTGTACCATACATACACTATGATAAATGAATTATAAAAAACTAATTTAGGTAATTGATTATAGCAACATAACACTATCCTTTGTATGTACCTATATTAAGTATGTATGTATTTACATAAATAAAGTATTTACGTATTTCTATTATGTATTTATGTCATGAATACAAACAATTGTATGATGATAATGAGTAATATGACCATCGTAAGTAAAGCGATGTGCTAAACCGCTAGATCACCGAGGCTGTCAACATTCATTTATATATTTTTTTTTATAATTTGTCATTGTTCACAAAATAAATAAACACAAATAAAGAACTGAACGTAAGTTTTATTCCTAACACAAACCAAAAATTTATTATATTAGTACTTATTTATAAATTAGTTTAGATATATTTAGTCGGTATCTAAATTTCTAATAGTATTAAACAAAATTGCTGTTTTTGTGTAATTGTTACTATTCTCCTTACTTTTTTTAAACCCATTAGATCCATTACATGATCTTTATACCGTTTTCAACATCATCTACAAAAAAATTCTAGAAGTTATATATATCTATATATATACAAATCCTTTTTTCGGATTACTCTAATGCTGTTGGCCGCAATTGGCCTTTACAGCTTCACCAAACGATAGAGGTCGAGTGCAGATGCCACTTCAAATCCGCGGAAGGAGAAGATAGAGCGGCTGAAGATCAACTCCCGCCTGACGGATACGACTTTAGTCTGATAGTCCCATTAGGGGTTCGATCCTCGGCTCAGGATGTCGTAATTTCGAACCCTGTTTGAATTGTACGGGGTATGGATCGGATACATTTAGTTATTGGAACTCCGTCCCGTACACCGTACATCCTTGCGAAATAAGAAGGTTTCTGGAATACTATAGAAGATGTACATCTTCAATAGCACACTAGCCTGTATAGGCTTGCTTGTCAAGGATATAAACCCAAGTCAAAAGCTAGATAGAACGCTCGTGAAACTAGACCATGTTCACTAACAAATAAAGCGGAAATCAGAAAATAAATTTTAATATTTTCATGCTAAATTGTACACACATTACAGCGCAGTCTGTATGGAGGTTCTCAAAACAATATTCTGTTTTCCAGTTTTCTTCTTTAGGGAAAATTGTTCAATATTATGAATACTTGCTTACTTAGTGTATTTTTTATGACTGACCTATAAGAAACAAAGTAATAAGATATATAAGAATGTAATTTTTTGCCTCAATTTGTTATCTGAAATATAATGTGTTTGTTTTTACCAGTGGTACCACCAGGATCCTTGGCGGGAGGTAGACCATCAGTGAGGGGGAAACCAGAACTACCGCGTGGCTCCACTGCTGGTCTTCCAGGTGGGTGTTTTCCTGTTTGTTCTCTATCGTTGTTAGAAACACTAATATTGATTAGAATTAATTGAAAAGACGGCGTTAGACTCTTCCACCACTTTGTGCAAAATCATCAGCATGGGTTAATATGCTTATATCAAATTTAAAGAGCCTGAATAAATTATTTCACTGGAATGGTGTTCTATTAAGTATACCACGGGAATCATATGATGAATCAGTGAGACTATTTATATACATAAATATAGACGATTGTCGCTTACTATTAGGAAGAACGTAAGCTTGTTTACCATTTGTAGTTAGATAAAAAAAATATTAATACATGGAAGAGAGCCATTGATAGATAGAATTTAAAACTCGTTAAGCACGCTGAAAGCAATTATTTCCTTCAATGGTAATGCAATCGTATTACTTCCACTCTAAAAGACGCGGGACGAGAGATTCTTTTTTACCCTTTAATAAATCTACGGTAACTGCAATGTGCAGAGAAATTGTTTTTATCAAAGGAAATTACTACTAAAGATGCATATTCTGGTATTTTATTTCTACAATAGGTACTTAAGACTAGACTTTAATAGAAAAACTAAAAGGAGTAATTAATATCTAGTATAATGAAAAATATGATAGTTAATTACATCCAATTAAGCAATTCATTACGTAATATAAATATTTATATAGAGATAATAACAAACAAGTGTACACTAATAGAAGGAAATAAACTTTTTCTTAAAGTAACTTTTCTCTAAAAAGAGCTTGATGAGGAAGAAGGTTTTACAACAAAATTAAATTTAAGCATACAAGATTTATGGAAATTATTTCACAAAAAAAGACAGAAGAAGGAGGAGCTATGGAGATCATCTTGCTATGGAGATTCCTAAAGAATTATTATATTTTAGATAAATAGATACATTCTATATTCACCAATAACATACATATAACATACATGAGCTACAGAAAAATACATGAATTAATAAAAGATATGGAGGTGACTTTATGTTCCGCAAAGGTGAATAGGCAACTCAGCATAATGATACACATAAATCTGCAGCGCTGATATTCTGTCGACTTCTGTACTTATACTATACTTAAAATTAAAAAATTACATATGTATTAAACTTTTCGCCAAGTCTATAATAACCCAGTGTAGTGTAGTCATTATATTTGTCTAATATATTAGAAATTATTCAGGACCGAGTCCACTAACAACAGCACCGTTAGCTGCTCCCCTCCACCCTGCCACTAGGCAAAGAGAGGCCGCCGCCTTAGCACCACCACCTCATGCGTAAGTATTACATATCTGCTTATATACAAAACAAAATCCTTTTGAAAAATGCCTTATATCACCATACAAAGAGATTTAACAGAAATAAAGCTAGATACTAATAAATTATATATTCACTCACGTCCATTTCGTCTCATGAAAAACATATTAGATACCTCTTAATTAATTTAAAGCTTCAGCTAAAACGTAGTAAGTCATGGTAGTATTCTAGTAGTTGTTGATTTTTGAAATATAAATTTTTGATGCTCCAAGTATATTCCAGATGTAGATAAACTTTGCTTGTGATTATTACCAAATCTGCTTAGTAAAATTTGAACGTAGATTCACTACATAATTCAAGTCTATGCACACTGACTATAAAGTACGATGTCGCATTTGGTTTAACATGAATTTTTAAATATTAAATCTCGTATCTTGAAAGTAAAAAGTCAGTTTGTATAAACACGTTCATGTACATTGACGACTTAATTCTATAGATCGTGTAGATCTTTCTTGCGCAGGACCTCGACGGGGAGTGCCAGCTCCGGGGAGGCGCCCGCCCCCTCCCCAAGTCCATCAGGGGCGAGCCATTCTGATAAGGACCAAGACCCGCAGGTAAATTATATAATCACTATATCTTTAAATACTCCGAATCACAAAAGAAGAAACGAAAAGACAAAAGTTAGAAAGTACTGTACCTTATTATATTAGATAAATGATTCTTTCTGATAAATCTGACTAATGGATATGGATAAAATACAGCAAGCAGAAATAAAATACGAAATTTTATGAAACAAAGATTCGTATATGAATATTTCATCGCCACTCCCTACCTCATAAACAATATGCCACGAAGATCCTTTTATCACTTGATGCAAATACCTTAATCTATCTCAAAATTGTGTTTTTAAGATGATATACTGATTTGTTTTTTTTTAAATATATAAAATCTCTGAATATGGGTGCAAATAACTGCAACACAGTTTTTCTATAAACAAATGTGGTTGATGGTGTTATCATGCTATTGTAATATTTATTTAATTGGTATAAATAAATTCATTAATTCTTTAAATTAATAGAATTTACATACATAATATATAAGTTTACTAATTTCGCAGTAATGATAATTACATTATATTGACAGGAGAAGATAGAAAAAATGGAGGAAGACAAAAAGCGTCGTTTACAACTTTACGTATTTGTGTCACGCTGCATCGCCCACCCGTTCAACGCCAAGCAACCTACTGACATGACACGGCGGCATACAAAGCTGACCCCCCATCAGCTGGAGACCATACAAGCTCGGTTTCAGGTAAATTCTCACAATAATTTCCTGCATAATGCCAGATATTTCGTGGTCTACATAACTACTTTAAATTCAAAGTATGTAGGAATGCTTCTACAGAAAGCTAGCTCGCAACCTACCTTAAAGCAATGTTTGAAGGAATTTCTGAAACTACAAAGCTATGATATCTGAAATTTTATTTGCTTTACTATTTTTAAAACGTTAACAATCTACTTAGCGTACAAAAAATTACATAATAAATATACTTGACTGGTAGTTTATTTCGTATTTATATTATTGGTATAGCAAACAAACTGACGGCTCACCTGATACTAATATTATGTGATGTTGACATTCTGGAGGACTGAAATATTATACTTTTATATGTAATTTCATTGAAGATTTCATTGAAGCTGCTTGGCGGGTTAATATTTGAGACTGAGATACCACCCAGATTGCTATTTACAAAGCCTAGCTCGGTAAAAGAAATAGTAATTTAATTTAAAAATTAAATAACAATAATAAATTTAATCTTGACATTACGCAGGCGTTCCTCAAAGGCGAAACACAAATTTTGGCTGACGAAGCTTTCCAAAATGCTGTTCAATCGTACCATGACGTGTTCCTTAAGTCGGAGAGAGTGGAACAAATGGTGAAGTCTGGAGCGTGTTCTCACCACGACTTTCGCGAAGTTTTCAGAAACAATATAGAGAAGAGAGTCAGGTTTGACCAGTACAATTTATTACCTAATTAAGTCTTAATAATTATCCAATTTCCTTTTTAAGAGCATAGGAAAAACCTTTCTTATTATTAGGATTATCGTCATTAAAGATTTGTTTGTTTTTCTTATTTTAGTAGTTTTATATTTCTTATTGTCTGAACACAATAATATTATCTAAAATTATTAAGTGGTAAAAACATTGATTACCATTTTAAGTTATAATTATAAACGATGTATGTGTAATAAAGTTTAAAAAAATTATTAAATCTAACTATTTATGAACAGATTTTTTATAATAATATACTGTGGGTAAGTTTGAGAGTTGAATCAAAAATTATTTTAAGAAATTAAACTATTTGGAACTACATATAATAATAATAAACTAAGGACAATTCAGACAGCGTCATCTAGACCCAAGTTAAGGTAGCTAAAGTTTGTGTTATGGGTATTAGATAACTAATACAAATACATATTATAGATAGAAAACACCCAGACCAATACAAGCAATCATACTCTTGAATACAAATGTTTGTGCTGTGCGAGGAAACGACCCGCGACCATCGGAAGTGAGGCGGTATGCTAAACCGCTAGACCACCGAGGCCGTCAAATACATATATATTCTTATCTTCACAATTAAATTGTCTAGGTCTTTACCGGAGATAGATGGATTAAGTAAAGAAACCGTACTAACATCGTGGCTCGCTAAATTTGATTGTATTATGAAAGGAACCGGTAAGTTTGTTTTTTATTCATTTACATACATAAATGCGAGTTGAAGCTTCATTTGAGACTAGCAGTTATTGATCATTGAGTCCAATGAATATTTCTACTCCTTCATATGGTGGGACTAAACTTTTACGATACTTTTTTTTTAATCTGGATATATTTCATTCAAAATGAACCTAATTCCTCCTTTAATAAAATTCATAATAAATTTGTTTCCACCAATACTTTGTACACATTTTGTATTAATAATCTAATCTCAAATAGAGCTGATCTCGAAACTAATATTCAGGGACTATATCAAGCATGTGGCAATGTATGTGACGCATCAGTATTAAACAAGCTTGAGTTTTGCAAGCCTTTGAATGTTTGTAACAAACAGATTCAGTGTGCTCATTGGTAGTATGTGTCATTATTATGTAAAATGCCATTACTGTACATGAAACTTACTCTAACAAATGTACGTAAACAAACAGTTGATTCGAATTTATGAAATTACTTTTTGAAACTACATAAAATTTTATAGCATATTTATCAACTCATAAGGAAATTAAAGCAAATATTGTACTTGAGAATCAGTATCGAATATTATACAAGAAAACGAAGAAAAATATCTGCCGTGTCATAATTATGCGAGATCGTGCTATTATATCAATATTGTATTAATATGATTGTATTACTATAATGAAGAATATTGTAGATCTATTTTTTGTTTAGTTTCGACAACGATTCGTCCCTTTCAACGGTATGGCGTCTTTAAAATAATTTTCATCATTCATTTATTAAATTTATTACAATTTCATTTAGATAAATAATATAAACCAATGTAAAAAATATGATAGGGCAAGAGTTAAATGTCCATTTCACTTATTGCATAAAATAGGATTTTTTGTATAATTTTTGACATAATTTTTTTTCAAAAGAAATATATTTGCATGAAATCAAAATAATAAATAAATCTATAAGTATAATGATCATAATGTTGTACTAGAAAAAGCAACAATCTAACAATAACATAACATAATATTTAAAGAACTTGAAATCTCATATAAAGAAAATAATAAACTTTTAAAAATGAAGCGTAAACAGTAAGTGCAATAGGGTCCAAAAACCATGCAAGTTTGTGTAGTCCACAGTTCCTGATTTCATGTAACGTGTACTGAAAATGTGTGTCGCCTGTGTCTGTCTCACTGTCTGTGTTTCTTTCCCTCTCTTTCACAACATGTCTCTCTCACACATCCCGAACAGGAATAACAGGTATCACTCGACAGCTGTTCATTGTTCCTTAAATTTTCATAACTAGCTTCTGTTTTGTGCTGTTGCTCGTTTTGTATTGGTGTCTGTTTTTTTACACAATTTGCTCGTGTATTATTAATAATTAATTACTCCCCACTTAATTGAATAAACACGATAATTTATAAAGTGATAATTTTAAAATTCACTATTTTTACACTTATTTAAAACAGTCCATATTGACCCTCCTAATAAATATTCTTGATGAATTCTATAAAAATTTCAAAATATTTATTTTATGATTGTTATCATTTATTTATATTTACTCGTCAAGAATACTTATTACATTATTGAAATTTATGACTACACTATATAATTAACAATATTGAATTTTACAATAAAACACTTTATTTTTCTTTTTACTGAAATAAATCTCAAGCACATAAAGGTAAGTTGACAAATTTTATTAATAAAGCTATGTAGAACTTGTTGCATGCTTGACTTTACTATTACAACTATTTTCATTTCCACTTTCCGTATTATATATTTATAAGAACTTATTTATGTAGGTACAATCATTTTTAAAATATAAAAAAACTATATCTAATTTCTTTTAAATGTACCTACTCTAACTTCTTATTACTTACATTATTTCTTTCTTACTGTTAAAGAATATTCTACTAAAAATGCTTTTATTTTTGTATTATTTTATTATTTTAATGAAATATATTATTATCTTTTTCTTGCATTTCCAAACTAAAAACTGTAGATAGACGTAAAGTAGCATATACTTTATTTCTTCTTCTCTAATCACTCAAAAATTTTATATTTATGTTTTTAATATCAACGTATCATAATACTTACTGAATTACTACATACTACAGTCAATCAATTAACATCATACCAACAAAATATATTTTTACTACTCTTAGTTATCAAAAAAAAATATAATCACAAAACAACTATAGATTTGCAGATATTGCCAACTGGAAGAGGAAACACCATTTAATATCCTAGGTGTATTTCAGGTGCATTTAATATCCCACTCATGCATAAACGAAATATCTTCTTTGGAAATTACACATTGTATCTTGCGGAGATAAAAACCATCATTCCTAAGAATATCCTTCAATTCTTGTCCCTAACCGGCCTAGGCAGTAATTCTAAAAATGGACGAGCACAACAGATCTATGCAGGTCGCAGTGCTATTGGTCTCTTTATCACTGAGTCCAAACCTCTTAATAAACAAAAATAACTTTTAATAATTAAACAATACGTAATATTTTCTCAGGCATTCCTGGAGATGACGAGTCGAAAAGGCCGTCGAGAGCACAACAACAAAGTCTCAATGCTGAATGTATTCTTAGCAAGGAACAATTATATGACATGTTCCAACAAATCTTGGGTGTTAAAAAATTCGAACATCAACTCCTATTCAATGCCCTTCTCGTAAGTAAACACTGGGTCTAGTGTAATAAACTGTCTTGTCTATTACTCACATATAAATGATGGACGAAGTTAATTGCATTTACTAAACTATTTGTCTTGAAATAGAAATAATCTTTATTCAAATAAACTTAATATAAGTACTTTTGAATAGTAATACTTTTTTATTCTACTACTCATAGGAACGCAGACTCAAGAAGAACAAGCAAAATACAGGCGTGTTGCTCTTTTAAATAAAAATTGTTTAGATGCTAAAATTCTAATTAATAGTATCATTTCCTAAAACTTCATTAACATTTGGTTATAAACTTCGCATCGAAGTTTTGTTGGAGACAATTAATTACAAAGTCTAATTTTGGACTAAAAATATAAAAAATTCTATTTAAACCTGCATTTAATGAAATTGACATTGCAGTTGGATTCAGCTGACGAACAAGCAGCTGCAATAAGAAGAGAATTAGATGGAAGAATGCAGAAAGTCAATGAGATGGAGAGGGTAAATAAGATTCATTTTATCTTTATAAGTAATTCAATATAAATCAAAATCAAATTAATATAAGAAATTCGAACAACCTAAAACATAATGAAGAACAGATGTTTCATTCCTCTTGTACAAGTAAATAAATGATAAGCGCCGCTTGTGACAATATATTGAACATATAAGATCGGAATACAGTTACGCATGCTTAGCTGCTTGATGCCATTTTGTATTTAAATGAACTTAACGATATATCAAGCGTAGCGTTCATTCTTTGTGAACTCCTCTGACTACTATTTGAGATTGTAATTGTAAGGCTGTGTAGATATAATGTGATGTTGTAATAAAGTTGCTAACATTTCTTGTATATCAGAACCGCAAGCTAATGCCGAAGTTTGTACTAAAAGAAATGGAATCCCTCTACATAGAAGAACTGAAATCCTCAATCAACCTTCTGATGGCCAACCTCGAGTCGCTTCCCGTCTCTAAAGGCGGGGCTGACTCTAAATATGGCTTACATAAAATCAAGCGGTATAATCACAGGTCAGTGAACTAACTATTGTATTGCAAACAATATTTTATGATGAACACATAAAATATTAAATGGCAAATCACAATACGACTTATGGCTTAACATGGCATAAAAGAATTTCTTTCTGTTATTTAGCCAAAAAGAATTTAAAGAACCTTTATTCTTAAAAGATAATGAAACTATTTTGTAAGTATTTGAAACAATAATAACGCCAAAAACAATAACGATAGGACCCAACAAAACTAGGGCTCTATCTAATACTAACTAGATAGGGCCCTACTTTTGCTAATAGACACTAATTGTATTGAAATGTAATGGAGAAGAAAGTTGACTACAAAATGTACAAAAAATGTACTATAAAACATACAAATCGAGATACAGAATGAAAGAATATATTTGTTAATTAATTTAATAGATGTCGTATTGAAATCTGCCACATATTGGTCCAAATCTAGTTATAAGGTTGCAAGTGTTGTCTAATTCACCATTTAAATGTTTTTTCCAATTAGATAATAATGTTCTTTATTTTGAAATAGAGATTATAATTCTTATTTACCTATTTGGGAAAGACATTAATTGTTAATTTAAGATCTATGTGGCTTATTGGTGTTTGTTACTTAAATGTATAATTATAAAACAAAAGAGTATTAGTATATTGTGTGTGAAATAGATTAAATAATATAATCTAAATATTGAATTACTGATATTTACAATAAGTACATTCATTAAGTGTGATTTTGTTTTAACATGTTGTCTTTAAAGTGTAATTATGTGCAGTTTGTCGTGACGAATAAAATTGACGGTATTTAGTAAATTCATTGTATCCTTTCAATTATTTGGGTTGTTGCAATGAAACTATCAATCTCCATGTTTTTACTAAATATGGTCAAAATTAGATGTTATCATCCGTATTCAATGTGGTCAGTGTTAAAGCTGATGTAGCCGTTGGTTTAACTCATAATAACAAATAACTAATAATGGATATAGATTTAATAAATTAAGTAAAAATATTCTTACTAACCCTACAATATTAAGATTTCAAGCCAACGTCAAATCAGCTTCTGCGATTTTTATATTTAGAATTTTAACAGAAAACATCATAATAAAATCGCAATGTACATAAAATCATCGTTAGTAAATTATAATTGCAGAATCTATTTATATTCTGGCTGATGTTTTCTTTTAAAGTTCTTATTACATATCTTATGTGTACATTACGAATAAATGTGACAATAAATATAATTATTAGGATGTTCATTTTCGACCTTTCTCTCTGTTTATAATCTCTTGTCTCTGTCGCACTTTGTATGTTTGATTTTTTATAGAACTTAATGGTCTGGATGTAGCGTCGTTATTTTTTCACTTACATATTGCATCAATTGTTTAATGTACGGATTGTATGATAATGTCTTCTTCATTCTGTTTATCAACATTTTAATAGGTTCAATTTTTACAACGTTAGTTACAGATAGACGATCATCCAGATCCGCTGTCATTTTATACTTGTTCATTTTCCTATTTTATTTTTTTCTGTCCCTGGCACATAACTGGACGGTAATGAAGGAAGTACAAGTAATGAGTACAGAATTGTTAATTTGCGCACGTGTCTTGTTTAGCAGGACCCCAGCCCACCTACCTGGCCTGAAACTACCTATTTGGATCCTAATGTTGTCATAGTCTAGACAATAGTAGATTTTAGAGTAAAAATAAATTAGTTCATAGACAAAACCTTAACAAATGTAGAATACGCATTAGATACATGTAAACTCGTTATTGGTACAGTATTAAAAGCAGAACATGACAACAAAGGATAAACTGAGGCTTTATTTACACTGCCAAATTTTAGCTTATTAAAGTAGTTAAAGTTTAGGTGATTATAGATTTCAAGCTAAAGTAACACTTAAGCAAAATAGCTAAGCATAAAATAGAATCAGAACGTAGATAAAACAACGTACCGAATAACTTAATTCTTGTATAATATATTTTTGAATAAAAGCTTAATCAGTTTTATAAAAGCTTTAAACAAGATTGTCACGCCTAGTCTCACATTTTGTGTTATCTTTTCATTCTTTCACTTTATCTTCATCTTTTAATAAGTGAAGTTTATATAAGAAATTATGATATTATATGCTTTCAGCTTTAACAAGGCTTAATATTGTTACTATTTAAATTAATACACGACGCTAATCTATTATTGTTAACGCATACGACTAATCACTCATTGATTACTCATGCAATTATCAGAATTGGGACTGTCCTTGGACAATGTACCAGTAGGAAACGCCGTCCCACGATTCCAATATTTATTGCAAATTGTACTCAATCTTTTATATTTATTCTATTATGTGGAGAAATTTTACTTATTTTGTCATTAATATTTCTAACGTCCTATACGTTAACAATAACTATTCAATTAGATTGTATTTATCATTCATCACCCTTATAATCACATTAACACCTTTAATACCTAATATTAGAGTCCAGACTTGCTCAGACATTAATAATGTAATGAAATTTTCATTAACCATTACAGGTACTTCAATAATTACTGAAACATGTCTGAGGAAGTTTTTTTTAATTTAGTTAGATTTTTGTAGCAGAAACTTTTTAATATTTCCCTTTGTTGTGCTTAATCATTCTTGGTATCGGTGATGGTTCCATATTGTCTACCACCATGCATTTTGCCCCGTGGGTTTGTGAATGCATCTCCAATATTAACCTTCTTTGTAAATTCACCTGATTCAATTCCTTTGACTACATCATCAATAACATTACATTTATCGTATAAAACATGTAATTTCCTGTAAATGATTCAACAATTGTTATTCTATTATTCTATCTAACATGGGAAGTATGTAATTGAATTTGTTGCTTTAATTATTTCACTTTGATGGGATTTGCTATATTTGTGGTGAAATTTTTTGGTGGTGGTTTTCTTTGGGTGGCTTCTAACAGATCAAATGCCGGACCAGATCCGACTCCAAGGTTGAGTAAGCAGCTGTGTTTCAGATCGCAAGGGTCCCTCGCAAACAAGTTGACTGGTGAAGGCGATAGTGGGGACGTCGATACTCAACTTACGAAAATGGATGTTGTGTTAACATTCCAAATAGAGGTAAATTTGGTATTGATAATTAATTAAGACGTTTTTAATATACAATTGATATAAAATAAACAAAATAATGTAACTTGAATTTTGAAGATTGTAAACCGGTAATTAGTATATATTAAGGCAATATATAATATGTTGATATAACATAAGTTCATCAGTTAAAGAAGTTTTACAAGTAACAATAGCATTATTTTGTATATATTTTTTTACAATATTATATTTGGTTTTACTGAAGGAGGTTAGCATTTAGAAACTAGTGAATTTATTTAGATAAACTTGGTAATACGTATTACATGTACTGATTTTTATAATTTTCTTACACACTGTGGCATCAATATGATTTTATTGATTACAAGAACAATTGGTACGTTATTAGAATTTACAATTACAGTTGTATTGTCACGAATAATTTTTAAAATAATAATAGTCAATATTTTTTAAAATAAAGTAGCGCATTTTAAAAACATTTATTATAATATAGACCACGAGCCGGTGGCTGTTTTTTATAATAACCAAGAGCATTCTCAAAAAATCATTTTTGATAATATAGTCCGCGAGCCAGAGGCTTAATTTCTCACGATCAAAAACTTCTAAAATGGTTCCCTTACGGGCCCAACTTTATTACTTGTTAACTAAATATGTATAGCTTCCTAGTTATATTTGCTGTTATTTGATATGTTTGTATATTTGTTCATATTATTCTATATATAACAAATTCTAGGTGGTCGTTATGGAAGTAAAAGGTTTAAAGTCTTTAGCGCCCAATCGGATAGTATATTGTACGATGGAGGTCGAGGGTGGTGATAAACTACAGACTGATCAAGCCGAAGCATCAAAACCTATGTAAGTTTTATTAGTTATATGCGACATTAATTTAATTTAAACCTTATTGAATTGTAATAGGCGGGCTATTAATGCTAAATAGCATTCTCTACCAGCCAACCTTAGGGAATATAGATATATATTAGGTAGTTTAGTTAATAAAATAAAAATTATATAAAATATTAAATAAGTTTACTTTGGAAGAGAAAAACATATTAAGAAAAACAAATTAATGAGATAAGGAAGAAGCAAATAATGATTACGAAATAGGTTTACTTTATACATAATAAAATACTACATTTACACGTATTATGCACATACAAATATATATGTATGTACCCTTATTTCCTCACTTCATGCTTGGACTCTGTAACTCTTATTGTGATCTACTATATTTCCTTAAACTTATTTTGTCAGCTTAAGTCACAAGATAAAATTTCTGAATTTAAATGCTGCTAATTGAATTTAAATTTAATGTTTTAAAGTTGAATTAAAAAATATAAATTATCAATGTCATAAATGATATTGTGGAATAGATCCTATAGCTAACACGATACATAAAGAGCGAAATATAAATAACATAAAGGAGCCATGTAGTGATGTACACTTAAATTCCTGCGTCATAGTCACCTATAGATTAGTTTGTTTGTTAAGGATCTGTCTGATTTCTATAAAATATGTTGGTAAATTGGACAATTCACACATCGCCATCTAGTCTCAAGCTAAGCAGAGCTTGTGTTATGGGTACTAAACAAGTGACAAATACTTATGTACATTTATTATAAATACATCGTATACATAGGTACACCTAGATTGATACAAACAATCACACAAATGGTTAAAAATATTTCTACCCTCCAGAACCCAACCGGGGACCGTTAGAGGTTAGATGTAACATAAAGAATAAATACAGAAATGTATCGTGTTCACTAAAATATCCAAACAGGCTGATATAGGCAATTAACTTAGTCCAAGAGGTCGTGTAATTACACGGTAGTCCATAAAATGGTCGTTACCTTGATAGTAACTACCTTCCAACTTACTTTTATTGGCTATCTACCCTACTAGATGTAAAATAGTTTTATTACTCGTATAAGTGATAAAACTAACAACATTCATTTAACAACCCCTGCAGTAGAAAATTCTACCTAGCATTGAAACTGAATATTGTTAAAACCACAAGGTCCTCAGGGCAATCTTCTGTGTTCATATAAGCATTTCGTTAAGTTATACATATATGAATGTATGATCATCTATGGTAAGAGGAAAGCCCAAAAGAGATGGATGGACTATGTGAAAGATGATATGGCAAGAACGGGAGTGAATAACGAGATGACTGCGGATAGGGATGAATTTCCATTCGTATTATTATATGAGAAAACATATTACGCTGACCCCAAATGAGTAAGATAAGGAAGAAGCAGGTGATGATAATGATGATGATAACATTCGCCAGTTCAATTTTAACGATTATTAAATTATTTATGACATGACAATGAGAATTTATTGAAAACGAAATTTCTCAACTGTCTGATCAGTTTCTGCCACCTTGTTGTCTAAGTAGTTCTTTTAAGTAATTTCTAGTTGTTCTAAGTAATAACATTGTTTTAGGATTAGGGTGTTTAGGAAGAATAAGATATTGCAGGGAAGGTGGGTCAAGTCAAACCTCCATAGGTATGACTCTTTATTTCTCGGGACCTTGCAATGCTTGAGGAGTAATCCAAGAGCATTTCAAACTGATTATGTAATATCTCTGGTGCTTAGACGATTATTACACTTCATCAGGGAATTATCATTTGCCATTCTGGTCATTTAAATCGAAATCAGTATCATATAGATGGACTTTACCATCTGGGCGGGGTTGTGGAAGAATTATAGTAGAGCTGAGAGATACATGATTAGGCTTTCATCCGTTAGATTTTCGGTACTATCCATTCGTCCTAATATATTATTGCAATGCAGTTGCGAATCAGTACATACAATAAGATAGGAAGCGAAACATCAGAGAACATAAAGAATATTTCTAAAAATATAGATTTAAAAAATCAAAAGAGTTTGCGGTATTTCGATTACATCCCTTATGCCCAATGTTCTTAATGACGTATTTCCTTGACGTAAAAAATTGCTGTAAAGGCGAGCTTTATGTCAACAACATGTTACGTATCATCTTTAGCAAATGTATGCGTTGTATTTTGTTTATTTTTTATATCTTTGAATGGCTCATGTTGTTTGGCAATAAATCAATATGTCTGCCATGCTAGCCAGGTGGCTTAGTAATGGATTTTAATTCTAGATTGATGACTTGAAATAAATGTTTTAATATTAATAATACCTATTGGACTGGATCTGGACAATTCACACAGCGAACTAGCCCCAAGCTAAGCAAAGCTTGTGTTATATGTACTAGATAACTAGGTATCGAACTCGCAACCATCGGAAGTTAGGCGGTGTGCTAAACCGACCATTAGACCACTGAGACCGTCAAATATATTATAAAGTAACTCTACTAATACTCCATATTAATAATAGGTGGGACACACAAGGTGATTTCAGTACAACACAACCCTTGCCGGCTGTTAAAGTGAAATTGTATACAGAAAATCCAGGAGTTCTCGCTTTAGAAGACAAAGAACTTGGCAAGGTGGTTCTTAGGCCAACACCACTATCGAGTAAGGTCAGTATTCTATCTTCACTTCAAATTTGTTAAAGAATAAAAAGCGAAAACAGAATTTCAGGAACTTTCATTACTATGTACATGTCTTTCTTTATATGCTAAATTGTAAATGGTCATTTATAGCTTCTCTTTCTCAAGGACTCTTGACTACGCCTTCAATAATATAAGTATTAATAAATATAAAATATGTATTATAAATATTTACTTCAAATACTAAAATACGGATACATCCAGATAAACTATGAGAGATTTAATAGAAGGTCTTTTTAAATCGCAGTCTTTTTCCCAAGGCTTGTCTAACTTGAGATAAAATGATTGGTTATTATTCACTCTTTTATCTATCTATGTATATAACATGCTTGCATTCGGAAACAGCAGTTAGATATTTAATTTTGTAACGTCTTTATTGTTATAGGCTCCTGAATGGCACCGAATGACTGTACCAAAAAACTTGCCAGACCAAGACCTCAGAATCAAAATTGCATGCCGTATGGATAAACCACTCAATATGAAACACTGCGGGTGAGTTACTACACTTATACGTAAATACAGTAATTTTATTGGCTTATAATGTAATAGTACCTGTTGAATATAATAGAATAAGGTAGCTCATCATAAAAAAATCCTCAGGAATTCTTGACGATGTGGATATCCATTTTGAGTTAAAAATCGACCTGGCATATTTTAGCGTCATCAGTAATTGCTTACCAACGCTCCCGATAAACCAGACTTTAGGGGGGGGGAAGGGGATTGTTAGTAATATGGACAAATGATGGAGACCATAGCTAGCAATGGTCCGTGTCAGATTGGCTCCACCCCCACGGTTCTACCTGGAGAACATCATGATAATTTCCTGTTTTGTCAAAATGTGCTGACCTGAAATCATGCTCATCCTCCACTGGTTCCCCGCCAGCGAAAACCATCAACGCTGGCGAGTGCATATCAGTTTTTTAACTTTTCATTATCATTGTACTTTACATTCTAAAATTAATTCGGTTTCTGAAAAAAACCTACTAGTTTATGTTATTTCTTTCTAGATATCTGCACGTCATCGGCAAGAATGTTTGGCGTAAATGGAAACGCCGTTATATGGTGCTGGTCCAAGTCAGTCAGTATACTTTCGCTCTATGCTCATACAAAGACAAAAAGTCCGAACCAGCCGAAATGATGCAGCTGGATGGCTTCACGGTGGATTACATCGAGCTTGCTAGCGGTCGGTTTGTTTATCATTATTCCTAATAGCTATCAATCGCTCAATGATCGCTAATGGTCGAAATTCAACCATAATTAATTTAAATTTTATAATTCTGAATACTATTAAGCTCCTATTTTCAAAGATTATATTTCTAAATGTGTGTCAAATTTCATGGTAGTGTGTTATAATTTTTTTTCATTGATTTATGTATCTTTGTGCATCATTTACTGGAAGAGGTCTCTTCTAGCAATAAATCCACATCTTACATTGTCTTTAAATTATTTTATTCCTTTATTATCTTAAGAATTTATTAATATCTAGATGTACACGCGACTTCGTCTGCGCGGAATTTTACTTTATTTTTCTAGAATGAAATTTTCTTAGATAACCTGCCAAAAAAAGTCCCGTCAAAATCGGTCCAGCCATTTCAGAGATTAGTCGGAACAAACAGACCGACAGGCAAACATACAAAAAATTTTAAAAATATTATTTTGGTGTATGGTCCGTATTTATATTCATTCATGTACTACATGCATGTTGTAAAAAACGGTTATTTCAATATTACAAACAGACACTCCAATTTTATTTATATGTATAGATTTCTATATTAAAAACCATTCAAGAGTTTGTTCTCTAATCTGTATTCAAATTGTATGTGAGTTGCAAGCTTATTAATATTCTGCTATTATTATTATTACAAATTTTTACTTACTAATTAAAAGTGAACTGAAATTAAAAGTAAAAAAACCTTTCAATCAAAATACTTTTATTATTTACTTGCAACATTAATATCCTATTTTTATTTTACAGCACAACTAATCGTCGGCCAAGGTAAATCAAATTGCATTTTTTACTCTAAATTTTATATTAAGAATATCAAATACTACCCAGAACAATTCACACTATGTGAATTATTCAATCTAGTCTTAAGCAGAACTTGTGTTATATTTTTTGTTATACATAATATATGTAGAATAATACAAACAACCATACTCCTGAATACAAATGTTTATACACTGCGAGGAAACGAACCCAGGACCATCGGAAGTAAGGGTAGATGTTAATGAACTAAACCACAGCTCGTATATATGAGAATTATTTTGTTTTTCTATCTCTGTAATTAGCGTAGGAACTATAAATAAGTTATATATGCAAATTTTGTCCGTAATTATTTTGTATTATTTATATTAGTAACCACAAATAATTTTATGGAAAATAAAGATTTTTACCTTTATTTACCTCCCTCGATGTTTCGACTAGGTTGCACTAGCCGTGGTAGTGCACAGCTAGTGGAAGCTAGTGCAAGCTAGCCATGGCTAGTGGGTTAAGACCCGGTTAATGATATAAATAACTACTCGCCCCGGCTTCGCACGGGTGTACATGTATTACATATATAAACCTTCCTATTAAATTACTCTATCTATTAAAAAAAACCGCTTCAAAATCCGTTGCGTAGTTTTAAAGATTTAAGCATACATAGGGAAGGACAGACAGCGATAGCGACTTTGTTTTATACTAAGTAATAATGATGTATATTAAACACGGAATTATTTTATAGAACTGGAAGGAGCAAAATATTTCATGAATGCGGTGCGCGATGGAGAATCGGTACTAATGGGGGTTACTGATGAGAATGAGTGTCATCTGTGGGTAATGGCATTATATCGAGCAACAGGACAGAGTCATAAACCCACACCACCCACGACATCTGATACTCATCATAAAATAATGGGAGGTTAGTTAACTAATTATATATATATATATATATATATATATATATATATATATATATATATACATACCTACAACAAAATATATAGATGTAAAGGACCGAAAGAATATGGATGGACAACAGTCCATATGCACTTACAATATTAATGACCAATATCCTCAGTCCATACATAAAAGGAGAGTAAGCTCAGTTATGAACCAATAGGGACCAGGAAGAAGATGACATAGTGCATCCAAAAGAATGGAATAAATAATGATGACATACCTATAATAAAAAAACTTAGAAGTGTGAATTTTCTTTAGAGCAACAAAAGCCTAAACAATGGTTTAGCTTTCTTCTTCGTCTGTCTGTATGTTTGTACACGGTGATGCATGATACGAGATATGGCGTAATCATCAAAAACTACTTTAAGGAATTGAATGCAGTTTTCACCGACATTTTGCTAGTCTGTGCGTACTAACTTAACTAACCAACTTAAAATGTAGGGTCTAGAACATCAAAATATCATATACTTTTATCTACTATCTTATACTAGTGAATAAGGTTTACATACTTGTATTCTCATTGGAATTGCATTAAATTGCTGCACTAATGAATATCACTAAAAATAATAATTCAGTATTATGTACACATATATGTGTTTTGACTATTATTCATCTTACAGATGCGGATAAAGCCCGTAAACATGGCATGGAAGACTATATCCAAGCAGATCCATGCCAGTTCGATCATCATATGCTGTTCTGCATGCTACAATCGCAGACTTTGAAGTATCGTCTTCAGGATCCATATTGCTCATTGGTAAAACGCTTTTAAGATATGAAATTCTATAGAGACACTTAAAAATATTAAAGCATATACTAAAGATAATATAAATACAACACACTTCGTGATAGTAAACTGTGCCTGATTATAAATATTCATATGTAAAATGCACTATAAATGACAACACGCTAAAGAAGTGAATTACGGTAGTCGCGTCTATTGGGCATAAAAATACCACATTTTTAACTTAATTTTATGATAAAATAGAACAGATATTCTTATTAACTACAACTATAAATAAAACATATGTGATATCGTTCGATGATTGACCGAATGTATCTTAGAACTCGTAACAAACCACAGTTGCTACAAGAGCAGCTTGCATAGTCAGCGTATTACAGATTTATTATGAAATTGACAATGTTCCAATTAAATCTGTCCAACCAATATATTGAAATTGGAACATTGCGACCTCGTTCATTATTTGGCCGTGCAAGTTCTCATCTGCGCACTTTTCAATAGGACTGTGCCCTGCAAATGTAATAAGCGTTCCAAACATTAATATGAAGTAAAGAAGTCACCTAATTTCATATTACAAATGATGTTCACGTTTTAAAGGATCTTAAATTATCTTTCATTTCAGGGATGGTTTTCCCCCGGTCAAGTTTTCGTGCTTGATGAATATTGTGCTCGATATGGTGTTAGGGGTTGTTACCGGCATCTCTGCTACCTGTCGGATCTTTTGGATGTTGCTGAGAGTGGACAACAAACAGTGGATCCGACTTTAATGCATTACTCCTTCGCATTTTGCGCCAGCCACGTTCACGGCAACAGGTGAGTAAATGGCATTCTTATTTGATTGAATAAACACTAAATTATTTAGTTGTAACGGGTGTTATGTTGTGAATGTCATGATTGCTGAAGCTATTGGAGTAATGTTATTTTGTTTAGATTTACGTTGATGTTACCTTAGTAGAAAAGGAAAATTCTGATTTACTTCCACAGTAAGCAAACTATGATAGTTAGCTTTCATTGTATTAGTAAATCTCCAAAATGTTTACAGTAACACATTTTTTTGTAAACTCCCAAAAATGCTTTAATTTAATTAATACGATGATCAACTAATGTGGAGTTTAAAATGATGGTATTTATACAAATATAAACCACTACAAAAATCGTGGGTCCTTTAAGTAAATATTTTATAATGACTGTAACCAATCAAAGTAACACTAACCCAATAGCAAGGATATTAAATATTAAACAACTACCTTAATTAAATGGATTGATAGAGAAACTAGTTAATATGAAACCTAACCTCATATTAATGTTTATCAATTTTTAAATTAAAACACGATTATGGATGTTATAAAACTAATCAAATTTATAATTCTATTTGATTTTGAAATATTGCTAGTATTCGGTAAAATAAGGCTGTCAAATTTCTGGGTACAAAGATTTAACCATCATACCACATCAACCTTAGAAATGTGAAAGCAAATGTGTATCATAAGCATCACATTATAAATTGTGACCCTTGTGCTGTTCATGTTTATAGGCGATGTGGTTGAAATGTGGTTCAACCACATTCCATCGCGTCCATTGTCAGTTTGTTTATAAAACTAACAATTATTATTTTAATTCTCAACTCTATCCATTAATATATTAGTAGTTTATATATTATACAACATCTGTAATAAGCCATATGCAATAAGCGTAAAATAGGTACGTATTAAATTTACAATAGGTATGTAAAATATTAGACGTTTTGGTGTTAGATTTGATGTTCTACAAGGAAGCATTTTGGGTCCCTTACTGTTGTATATGATACCAGATCTACATATATGTATACCTACTGTATAGATGACTAGAAATGTTGCTATGTTTGATTTAGCATGCTTAGATTTAAAATTCAGAGTCTGCAATTTAATAAGAAATGCTTAGAAATACTTCTGTAATGTATATGAAATCATCAAACATAGTTACATATCCCAAAATTGTGTATACACGAGCCAATGCCGCATCACATCGTTGTAATGTTGCTTTCTATATACTGAAATCTATTAGATGGCCCCTAATCTGACTATAGTTGCCCTTTGATGTAAGTTATAGTTAAATGTTTGCTTTCTAACTCTGAGCCTGCTTACCTTATTAATACTTCTGTCTCCGGGCTTGTGGATTAAGCAGTTACTAATACATGTCATAATGTTAAAATTAGATTTTTCCAAATTTCTATAAAAGTATTATCATCGCTTCAATATTTTTTAATATTCTCAACTCATATTGCAGTTCATTAAATAAAATCAAGACTCCTTCATTATTGTCTAAGATTTTACAGAAATTGGCTTAATATAGGTAGTTGACACGGTTAACCATCATCCGCTTTAGTTAAAAGGTAACGTGGTACACTTACCTACTTTAATAAAATTGGCATAGTATAAGTACATAGTTTTAGGCGAAGTGCTGCTAATTTCACAGCCTATCCTAAATCCCGCTTGTGCCCTACTAGAGTAAGCTCCACGGTGGAAGTGGTTCACAGTACCGCGACGTTGCCTGGCAGGCCTGATGGAGTGGGCAGCATCACGGTCCAGGAGAAGGAGAAATTTGCCGAGATAAAGGACAGACTGAAGACCTTGCTGCAATATCAAATCACAAACTTCAGATACGCGTTTCCGTTTGGACGCCCTGAAGGCGCTTTGAAGGTAGTAGATACAATTTATTAATTAGGCTGATCTGACTGATCTGATACTGATCGACACAATAGATTTTAATTTTTTCTAGAGAATTTTTTTAGAGAGTAATACTTATACATAGAATACATACAAAGAATACCTGCACAATACACAACACTCGTGCAAAGCCAAAGTAGAGCGCTGATATATATTTTGTTTCCTATATAGTGACAAAGTGAGGAAACAAAATATTTTATGATATAATTTATAATCAAAATATATTTGCTATTCACTAATATGTTTTTTTAAACTTATATTCCAAAGTTCAACTTTATGACTTCATATAATAATTATCGCTGTGCGTTGATGTAATATCAGTCATGACAAAAAATTGTATAGCAATCTGTGCTAAAAGTCTTTTGCCACGACTGTCTACAGTTATGAAATAATATTTTTATTGGATGATATTGTAGTATTCTCATTTTATAATTGCATATAAATTACAAAAGGAATTATAACTCTTAAATTTAAAATACTTACAGGCTACTCTGTCCCTGTTAGAGCGAGTTTTAATGAAGGATGTAGCAACACCTGTCGCTCCGGAAGAAGTGCGCACAATGATACAAACAAGCCTGGAAAACGCTGCTCTACTGAATTACACACAACTTAGTCAGAAAGCAAATATCGAAGGTTGGACCTTAGAATTTTAAAACATTTATTTGGTTAACAGCATATTTTTTTTATTTCGAACGTCAAACAAGCTGACTGCCCACTTGATGGGAAGTGGTAACTTCGCCACGTCATAAACTGCTCCACGAACATGACGAAATCATGTAAAGGCCGTAAAGAGAACAAACCATTCCAACAAAGGTAATTTACAGAGAGACAATGAATAAGATAAGTGTTGCATATTGTAACTGTATAACTTGTCAAAAATTCATAATAATGTAACTAAATAAAGGGGAAACAGTTTGAAAGTGAGACAGTGTGAATGATTTCACACTATTATATATATATATATTTATGCATGATAATGAAATTATGCATCCGCCTTGGTTTACGGTGGAGTTACAGTGGAGGATGATAAAATAAGCATGAAGTTAGGTCCGTTATCCTGACAAAGGACAATTTGTCACGACGGTTTCCAGCGTGGAAGTCAAACTGACATGCTACATTGCTGGTAATGCGGTTATTAGTCCATATTACTATTAATCCCCTACACCCCATACTGTTGTATTGTCAGAGCTTAACATGACGTTCGACTAAATTGTACTAGCAGTAATCGTAAGTAAACTTGATTACAACAATGTCATTGTTAGTGTTAGAAGTTTGTTCGACTAATGTGGAAAAATCTTAGACTATAGATGTATAAGTACCAATTAATCTAAAACTGTTTTATCAATCTCTTTATAACATACAATTTACAATAATATTTCAGAGGATCTTCGAGGTGAAACTATGGTAACTCCCGCAAAGAAATTAGAAGATCTTATCCATTTAGCTGAGCTGTGTGTTGATCTCTTGCAGCAAAATGAAGAACACTACGCAGAGGTAATGGATACATTAAAAAGCATGATATTTTTATAGAAGGACCTGTAATAAAACCTATTTTGAAGAATAACAAATGAAGAAAAAATATAGTTAATAAACTAGTTCATAAAATATCTATGAAATAAAATAATGTGAAAAGATATTATTTAAAACTATATAAAATAAAGAGAGCTCATAAGTGAGTATCATAGTAAACATACAGTTTAAATATAAAGAATACGACAATTATAAAATATTTTTTTTTGTTATGATTCAAAATATGTGCATTATATGATATCTATATAATAATCCTAAATGTTGTAATTTCCATTGTGGTAAAACTTTTGGATCTAAATTTGGACGTAAACAATATTTTTTAATTTTATATTTTCCAGAAATACTTCATCTTTGAAAGGTATATTCATTATTCTAAAGTCTAGTAAACGTTTGTTTTTTGCAAAAAGTTTTACCAAAGGTTGTCAGTGTTCACTGGAATATAGCACCCTACTCTCCTGTCGCTAGTAGTGTGGGATATTTTGAAGCAGTACAAATATATATTCTTGATTACGATGAAAGACCACTACATGTTAAATGTTTCCTAAAATCATACTAATTACCTACATTTTTTATTGTAACATACATTAGTTAATATGTCTCTAAAAACGTTATTATCAGTGTTTATGGTAATATTTTCATCGTAATCTTTGCGTACTCGTATATAGCGAACTTTTTCAAAATTATTTTGTTGTCTGGTATTACCTAAAGGATTATTAGTCGTATAATAATAATATTACCTATATTAGTAACTTACAAAATATTTTATTTTCCTAAATTATATATTTATGTCGCTTGGTCGTCAAGTGAATCATTTTAATGATTCATTTCACGTCACTGGATGTACGCCAAGTACTCTATATAACTTCTTATATTCCACCTCTATCTTATTTTTTATTTCTCCGCAGGTTTATAACACAAAACCGGATCCTAGCGGTCAACAAAATGTAACTACTTAATAATTTGATTGATTGCTCGGCTGATCAAATCACTTGTCAATTGTATTCACTCGTTCTTGATCATACTTCACTCTGATTTGTTTGATCACAAATTTTAATAAGGAGTAGACCCAAGTTCTCTCAATAGAAAACACTCGCTTGGGCAAATGCTTAGCTATTTAATAGATAGACTTCAGAATTTTAAATGCATGTATCTATTTCAATTAATAATAGAAAATAAAAGATACCGGTTATCAAAATTTTCATTATTGGTTTATGATTAAAAATTGACAACAAAGTTGTCTTTCTAAATTAAACAATTGGCGGGATTCGCGTCTTAAATTCGTAATATTTTTTATTGAATCTACTCCATTGTACTTTAGGTTTTAAATTCATACAAAACTATTTAAAGGAACATTCAAAATTTAACATCAAGCACTTGATAGGATATTATCGCTTTTGTAGAACGCTCTTTACTATCTATTGACTATATGCTTGCACAATATCTTGAAATCACAATATCTTTCTGAAAACATTACATATTATAACCACGCCTTTGACATCAAACATCTTGGTAGCATTATTTCATACACTAAAGTATTCACTTTATCAATTGCTTTGTCAGTCGTATACAAATTTACAGTAGATAGAAAGGCTTATAATATTTAGTATTTTGAAAGAAATCTGCATGAATATTCTTATTAAATTTTATTTACATGAGTATTAAAGTAACTGTTTCTTATTTAAAGTCCCTCAAATAGTTTCTTCATTTAGTAGTCCGCAATGCATTAACAAAACCAAATGTTTCTATAGTTTCAGCTTTAATAAATACTCAATTTTATTAACATTTATGAATATTTACGCACTTTAATGACTTTTTAAATGTCTGCATTTTTCAATATTATGTGTTCAATAATCGTTTTTTTTTAAAACGATTTCTAATTGAGTTTCTGAATCTGCTGAATAAACTGTAGCGTTACAATTGCCTACATTTATTTGATTTCCTACTATATTCCACTATCATGCTCTATCACAAGAACGAGAAAAATCAGGGAAAAAACGCAAGAGCCTTGTTGCAGTAATAACTTTAGAATTAACTCTGGCTACTATATAGTAGACTTAGATTTATATTACATATTTATATCATTCAATATACCTTCGATAGCACCATATTTTTTCCAGGCGTTCGCATGGTTCTCCGAACTACTAGTAGAACACGCAGAAATCTTCTGGGCGCTGTTTGGTGTCGATATGGATAGAGTTCTGACTGAACAACCACCTGATACTTGGGATTCGTTCCCGCTCTTCCAGATATTAAATGATTACTTGCGAACAGATGGTAAGTTCTGGCTGTTGGTATAATATACATAGCATCAGACTTAGGACTTAGCAATCCAAAAAAATTTGTTTAAGACGTAAGTTCAAATAAACTCGGAACAAAATCTTTCGAGTCACTCTTCAATATAAATTTATCAAACTAGACTAAATTATTTATTTTGATTTCTATTTTGTTATCAGAAAATCTGAAGGGCGGGAGATTCCACGAACATCTTCGTGATACATTCGCACCTCTTGTAGTACGTTATGTGGACTTAATGGAGTCGTCTATTGCTCAATCACTGCATAAAGGCTTCGAAAAGGAACGTTGGGAGATCAAAGGGTAAGTTATTAAAAACCTAATATATGTATGTAATTTAAATTGTACAAGACTACAGAAAAAAGACAATGATTCTGAAATGAATTACATGTAATTTAAAAACCCACGCTCGATATAGATCAATTAAAGAATTGTTGTTATTTCCTGTTCGCCGTGGATACACTGCGATGAGTGATGATGCATCCTAACTTTATTCTCATAATTTCATCCCTCACTTGTGGCCTGCTAGCGTATACCACTAGTCAGACGGATGCACCATTTCATGTTCAATAATTTAAAAATATTTAAGAATCCTTAATATTACTGTAATGTTATTTTTAACATTTATAACATTTCTAATTTTAACATTTTTAACATTTCTATTATTGTAATATTCAGTAATGGCTGCTCTACAAGCGAGGAGTTATTCTGGAAATTGGACGCGTTACAATGCTTCATCAGAGATCTACATTGGCCCGAGCCTGACTTCCGCTCACATCTCGAACAGAGACTTAAGCTGATGGCTAGTGATATGATGGAAACTTGCATACAAAGGACTGAGGCGTCTTTCCAGGTAATTTAAACAAATCTTACAGCTAACCAATTCTAATACTGAAGCCATTATAATGGAAGTTTAACCGAAGTAAACTTCGAATATACTCGTCTACGTTGATATTTCTTTCCCGTATATTTGAACAATCAAGTAACTTGCTTAATAAGGTATGTTTCAGTAGAAGGGTCACATAATACAGTGAAATTACAGGGTACGAAGGTCATCCATGGATATGGTACACATCTTAACGTAATATCAGCGTATTCATGTATATAGGCAATGTTTACCATTTAACTTCGGGTCTTCGAACAGTCAACTTATTGTCATTCCAATAATATGAAAAAAATCCTTTATAAAAAACTGTACGGAACTGTTGTCTCATTTGGGAGGAACAAATTAATTATCAATCTCACCTTTGGGTCTTCCAACAATCAACTTATTGCCATTCCAATAACATGAAAAGAAAGTTTGTAAAACAGAACAGAATCTTTGCCTTATTCGGGAGAATCAAATTAAGTATCGATTTTGATCAAAGACTATTGGTGGGAGATTTTTTAATTTCCTAAATGACACTTTTTGGTTTTCCTTACAGTCGTGGTTAAAGAAGAGCGTGACATTCATGTCGACGGATTACATCTTGCCGGCAGAGACATGTGCGATGGTTAACGTGGCTCTAGATGCAAAGAATCAAGCATTGAAATTGTGTGCTGTGGAAGGCGTCGATATCGTGAGTAATACTATTTTTTCTTTATAATTCTGTAGAATCTATAATACCCTGCGATCGACCTCTTGTCATACTCAAATAAATATTCAATATACGACTGAGCATAAGTACCTACCCCTAACGGTGGTTGAAACCGAAGTCGTATACGTCAGACAGAAGTTTGCCTTCAGTCACAATATAAGTTCTGAAGCATGAAGTGTTTTGAGTACTCTCTGCACTCGGTTATATTTTTGTCCAGTAAAGCTGTAAAGGCCATATATGAACGGCATTAGAATAGTTCGAAATTATTTATTAATTGCATTCAACGAAATACGAAATTAGTGGCTATGGATATTCTATAGACTCACAGAGCGACTTAAAGCCAAATCTAGTCTGAGGAATAGTACATTAGTCGAATAGAATCTCTATGGAGTTTCCCAAAAAGGTTAGAAATTTTCATGAAGGCATCTGAGGTCATTGTAATATGCTAAGGCGATTCTGTGACTGGGGTAATAGTAGTACACCATTTGATATCCAAAAAATAGTAAATAGATCGGAGAAGGATTATTTTCGGAAGAAATTACCAGCTTAATACAGCATTAGAAGTTACATTTTCCTCTTCAACTAGATTACTTCTGTCACTTATAATCTTCTGTTATTCTCATAATTAAATATGTATTATATATACAGAATTACTCAGTAATAGATTGGAAATATACATATTGGAATTACCCTTAAATAAATTCAAAACATCTGTTAAATCATATTTACTAAGCAAAGCCTATTACTCACTAAACTATTACTTGAATGACGAGCGTGCATGGCAATAGTTGTTCATGCACGGGATTTTCATTTAATGTTATACATAGATAAATAAACTGGCTTGCAAAAAAAAGTAATTCAATTGAGTTTCTTGCTAGTTCTTCTCAATTGGATCTATATAACGAACTGGACGGTAGGGAAAAGAATTAAAATTATAATGTAATAAACTTGACGTTCATAAGCGGCTAAAATGTCCTACGTGAATAAATGATTTTTGAATTTGTAAAACACACACATCTTCTAATGCCGTATCAAATTGCAGCTGAAGTCAATATGTAAATAGACAATAATAATGTCAATGAAACAAATACAAATAATAATAAAAGATACGATTCCTAGGGAGCATTGCACTAAAATTCGGTAATCTAAAACAAAGTTCTTTGTGCCAGTATCAGTATCACAGCAAAATGGATGGTCAAATTGAGTCGTGTCTGCTGGCCATGGCGACTGGGATGACGACAAGACTGTCCGCTGTACTCGAAGCCACATTGGCGAAGATTGCCAGATTCGATGAGGGCAGGTAATTATATATTACGTAGACATTTATCGATAAAATTTGATTATTGTCAAATACATAACCCACCCTTGCTCCATACGACTCTACCGCTTCTGACGGCCTTAAAACTTGCCTATATTATAAAAAAAAATGTATTGTAATATTATAAATTTGCTTATTTTTTTTCTGCAAATTTTTAGTTATTAAACATTGACACTAAATTATTCCGAAACGAGACGGAGTCTGGCGGGTAGTAAATACTAGTTTCTAATATATATTTTATTAAAGCATACCGAGCATATCGAGAGCGTTGTGGCATAATGGTTTACTACCTGAATTACATTCCTCATGGATGGGAATCATGGGTTCTAATATAGCCGATATAAAAAAAAACTAGATGCCTGTCATTTTATATTTCTTAGAGACTCTCCTGTGAAGAAAACGCCGATATCAAACCAAAATTAATCCTAGAGATGGCCGTAGGCTTGCCCTCTGCAATTTTAGATTCCCAGCAAAATGTATGCCAATTGTAGCGTCACCTCAAAATTGATAGTTAGAAATCTCTAACTGCCCCAACTGGGATAAAAGTCGTGACAATATTTTTTTTAAGTATTCTGCAAACAAACTAAAATAACTGGAGTACTTTATATTTTGCTTTCAGTTTGATCGGCTCTATCTTGACGATAGCCAACGTGTCAGGTTCAGGAAAGGATATCGGCCAGGGCTATGTCAACTTCATGAGGAATTCTATGGACCAAATCCGATCTAAGGTTGGTGTATTAAGATTCACAAATTAATTATGATTTTTTGGCAAATTGCCTTAGATAAATACTTTAAGTATTACGTAAAACAATACTTTTTAAACTGTGGGTCGCGATACCAGTGTGTGCCGCGAATCCTTTTCTAGAAGTTAGGAGTATAAGAAAGTACCTATTACTTTCTTTTACTCCTAACTAGCTTAGTAGTAGTAGCTAAGTAGCATCCATCCACCAACTCATTACTGTATTGTTGCTTCTACACTACTAGGTACGAGCTTTGTACTCTGTGTTTGGGCTGAGGTTGAGTTACGTTAAAGAAATTACGGGTTATGGAAACATACAGATAACATATTTGCCCTCTAGAAGAGCAATGTGAGGACAATTACCACTTACCATAAAGAGAGGCGTCTAGTGGTTTACCATTCCAGTATTTGAATGGAATGGTAAACCACCAGATCCCTCTCTTTACTCCTCTCTGATATACCATCAAGGTCGTCAAAGTATATGAACATCATTAGAAAATAAAAAAAAACCAAATATTTATTTTTTTAAATTTGGTGCTGTCATTATTTGTAAGTAAAACTAGCTGACCCCGTGAACTCCGTTTCGCCTTGCGTAACTTAACTTCAAAAAACCTTTAAAAATAAATATATGATGGGTTTTTGAAGTTAAGTTACACAATAAATTTCTGAACGCACACTGTTTGACTCACTCTAAACTCACTAAACTAAACTAATATAATACAGCTAGTACAGATATATATTTGACAGTCTCAATAGTCCAGCGGTTTAGCCCCTTATCACGGATGGTCGTGGACTCTATTCCTGCGCGACGCAATCATTAGTATTTAAGAGTATAATTGTGTATATTGGCTTGATTGTTTTCCAAGTCTATATATAGTACGTATTTACAAAAAAGAAATCTAAGTAAATTTCTATCAGTTGTCTAGTAACCATAACACAAGTTCTACTTAGCCTGAGTCTACATGAAGCTCTGCGGGATTCATCCAGGCTTATTAATATTATGTGTTCACAGGTAACGGACGAGTTATGGATTCTGCAGTTGTTTGAGAACTGGTTCTCCGTCCAAATGGGTCTGATCAACACCTGGCTTCTGGGGAGACCAGCACTACATCCACAGCAGGTCGCCTGCCTCTCAATCACCGTAAAGGTACCGATTCTTATTAAATTATTCATCAAAGTTCATTAAAATAAAATCGGCAAATTACGAAGCTAATATTCATGCATCCGACTGTAGCGTTATATATGATGATAAGGTGATGCTACTTAATTTATTTGTTTCCTGTAGTAGATATTTATGTAGTAAATATACAGATGTAATAATTATACTATATATTTATTGTACATTAGTAACTTTATGTCTTACATGCCTTATTTATATCGCGTAGGTACACTCAACATGGAGTCGTTGATTTTGATGAGTCCACCTCCATTTTAACACTTTGTAAAAAGTCAAAGTCATAGGACATTTAAAACTCTTGTGCACGTCATATTTTTTTATCACTATGCCTACCGTCCAATTCAGCTACTGTTGAAAAGAGCTGGTAGCAAATTCAATTGGTACATTTTTTGTAGTTAGTTTAAATCTTAAACACATCTTACAGAAAATGTATAGCGACTTCGAGTTGCAAGGCGTCATCGACGAGAAACTAAACACGAAGACCTACCAGAGTGTCGCAGCCAGGATGCACACTGAGGAGGCCACCTGCAGCTTGTTGTTAGCTCAGCAAGATACCGGGTAAATCTATACTAATATTGCATAGAGGAAAGATCATTAAAGATTTTAAATATTTAATATAGGTACCTACAATTTCTCCGATCGATCCCCCGTCCAATTCAAACGGGGATCAAAATTACGACAGCTTCAGCCGAGCTTTGAACCTGTAGCGGTGCTCCCAAATTAAATTCATATACGTCAGGCAGGAGTTAGCCTTCAGCGGGTTTGGAGTACCATCTGCACTCGTCCCCTATCATCCGGTGGCTAGTTACAGCCAACAGCATTAGAAAAAGATGTTTAGAAATTAATATAAAACTAAACAAGGTAGCCAGGCCGATGAGTCACACGTGATGGCTGTTAAAAACGAAAAAATTCCAGTATTACGTGAGTTGTTAAAGAAAGATATCGGGTGGCACTGGGATCATAGGCATGATGAATGTTTTGAAAAGATTAAACTTATAAATTAAAAAGATAGAAAAGGTATATGCCTACAAAATACTAAACCTATTTAAAAAATTACTTTATCCATAATAGGCTACATTATCAGCGAATAATATGGGCTTATATTTTATTAAAAAAATCTCTCAATAAAATAATATTACAATAATGACAAACGTGCGGGGTAGATGTGGGTGGGGTGCAAGTATATACAAGATATTATTATTTTGGTTCGAAAGCTGAAACGAATAGAATATACTCGCCAATTCCAAAACCAGATACGGAAGTGTATCTTTCTGTTTGTTATATTTTAACGACTAAACGGCTGAACGTAATCTTCTGAAGGACAAAGATAAATTGTATCGCGAGAACACATATCTTTTATCTCTAAAAATAATCTAGAAGAGTAAGTAAGTTATAACAACTAGTAATTAGGTACCTAATCAAAATATCATATTATTTATAGTGGTGGTGATGATGGCGAATCCGAAGGTTCCAGAGGAGGCAAGTCCAAACTAGAAGCGCTCACAGAAGAAGCGAAACTTGGTAACGTGACTGCGGTTGTTGGCAAGGTAACTAGATAAATAGTAATAACACAGATAAGAGAATATCTCAGGTCAATTAACACAGCTCCATCTAGTCCCAAGCTAAGCAAAGCTTGTGTTATGGGCACTAGATAAGTGATATACGAGTGATACTGTATACATCCACTATTTTATAAATACATAATATATTAGTAAAAACTTAGACCAATATAAATAATCATACTCATGTATACAGTGTTCGAGATTACGTTAAGAGATTAAGTGCGTAGCGGTTTCTATGTTGATTATCGCATGCCTAATCCTTGTTGTTAATTAAATATAAGTAAATGAATATTTATTTAAAAGAGCAACACACAAGTTTCTTATCTTCTTGTGATGAATCTGTATTCCGAATAAGCGGTAGAATAAAAAAAGCTTGACTATTCAAGAGTGCTTATATTAAGTTTATTTGAATAAAGATTATTTCTATTTCGTACCGTGAGAGGAATCGGAAGTAACGCAATGTTCTAAAAACTTAGACCACCAAGGTCGTAAAAAAATAAAAGAAATTTATTACAACTTGTTAAAATTTTAATTAAAACGAGAGACATAAGAGACTGATGATGAGTGGTTGTAATGATGATGATTTATGTCACTGCTATGTACTAAAATATGACTGTTTTATAACATAAATTTTCACTCTTAGTTTTTTAACTTCATTTATTCCTTATCTACAGGTTGGAAATATCTTCGGACGTGGCATAGGTGAGCTGTCAACAAAGTTGGGTGGAGCGTCTTCTTGGTTTTAGCGCATTTCAAGCGCTCAAAATTCTCATGTTTTTATAAACATACCTTTCTTTGCCTATATTGATGTAATGAGATGAGATTTCAAATGACTTTTTGTCACAGCACAGCCATTTTCAACATATAATTTGATTTATTCATGTGCAAAAAATGTCAGTGCCGTAACAAAAAGCATTTAACTGTTCTGTGATGACGATAAGTAAAAACATTGTTTTGCATTTGATTACAATCTAGAATGTCCGCCATTTCGAATTAAGAAAACACTATGATAAAAACAAAATGGCGTCGTACGCGCTAAAACTATTGTAAGTGGCCAGTTAATGCATAGCTTAGTGTGATTACGTATAGTGTACCTAAATGAGGTCTAGATTTTATTTTATAAAAAGCTTTATGTACAGTTAGATCATCATTCGTTTAATGGATCAAATATAACATAATAGGTGTTAAGAGTAGTATTTGATAACACGATTTAAATTGTAATATTGAGAAATAATACGAAATGCATACATACATACTAAATGCTACAATAAGAAAACATATCGCTTTGGCAAAGTTATTTTGTGTAAGTATTTATTTTATATATTATCATTGCGAAGACATATTAATATTGTGTTATTTACAAAATGTGTAATGTAACTAAAATATCAGCGGGTTGGTTTGGATAGAATGAGTGTGGATAATACGAGGTTAAATATTTTGAAGTAAGTGTTTAATATTATCTACCTATATATGTTCCAAATGTAACAATCTCATTAAGTATACGCATTTCTTTACGTACTTACTCATTTCAATTTTATTATTTTGCACCATGATATGATTTAGAATAAACAATATCACATCAAATTCTTTGAGTGACAGCACATTGTTTCCACAGTGCAATTTTCACACCACCACTCTTTCATAATATCTAATCAGGATTCCTATACCTAGGTACTTACTTCAAAAACAGTATTTTTCTAATTATTAATATAATATTAATTCCACTTTATAAAAATCGGTTGAATCTCGTCTTTAAATCAAATTTTCTTACTTAAGCGTTTTTATAAAAACAAAAATGGGCGCGAAATATATTTTTCGAAATGTGTGTTGCCATAAAACGAGGCTCCTAATGAAGGGTAAAATATTTGTTTTCATAAAAACGTGAGATAATTAGCTACTCTATTCTGTAGTATATTTCTCTATTATATTTTATGCTCTGTAGAATCTATTACGATCTAGTAACATTTTACCTACGCTAGTCGTCGAAATAATACATAACTATTTATTAAAAAAATACTATTCTAGTATATTTGTTAACAAAATAATATTCTTCTACGCTAAACACCTTACAAATTTTTAAACTAGGAAAAAAATTAAATTTCTTAGGTAAATATTAAAACATTAAAATAGCGTCTAGACGCTATGCTGAAACGCCTTATAATGTGTTGTTGGAAACGGCTTAAGGAAAATGAAGAAAAAAGCTGACTGTAACTCTATGATATTATAGAAGTCAATGCGTGTGTATTATTATGAAACTAATTCTTCAGTCCGTTATTTTAAAAAATAAAATTCATTATCTCTTACTGTTCCTTCTACGAGACTTTTGAGTTGCCCTATATAAAAATACCGATTATTTTTATTATTATAATTTTTAATATAAAAGAAATGCTGACTATTTTTAATACTTATAACTATATCAAAAGCTGGTAATTATATACAAAATACAATAGAGCTTTCGTGGCTGGCACAGTATGCAATGTTAAAGAAAATAATAACGTAGTGCTCACGTATTATAGTAATTAATTAGATAACAATGTAATCACAATTGTACACAGTAAAAGAACACGAAAATATTTAAAATATAGGTTCTAATACAATTATATTAATTATTTAATTGATAAATTAATTAAATAAAAACAGGATCATACGATCGTAAACATATTTATTAAATAAAATTTATGCAGAGTTTTTATTTATCTTAGACTAAAGTTTACAAATAAATTACATGTTTTTAAACATTTTAATAATTTTGCAATCGAGTTACTACTAGTGTTTTAAATGTTTATTTAACAATACAGGATATTGAATATGTTTTCAGTTCCTGCCCAAACAACCACGTTACTACTTATTGTTAAATCTATTTGTTTACCTCAAGATGGACAAATAAAATAAATTTTACCTACATTATTTATGTATTGTTAATATATGCTACTGATACATTCTGTGCTACTATTGAAATAATAATACAGAAACTACTACCTACGTAAATTAATACCTATTTATACAAGGAAAACTGAAAGCATATTAAATATAGCGTTGAACAAATAAATTCAAATTAATAACAATCTGAAAATCATCCAAATTTTAAACTCAAAATATATTTTCTGTACTTCAGATTAGGTGGAAACAGAGAAATAGTTTTCAGTCTTTCATAGTGAATCAGTTCTTCTACTTATTTGATTATAAATGAACCTTGATTTTAGATTGTTATAATTCTTACCTTATCTATACCACAGATGACTATACAAAACTTATTTATATCACAATAAAAATGTCTGCCGTTATATTTTGTAATTTTTGTAATATTTTTTTATCAATATCTGATATTATGATCGTATGAAAATGTGATTATTTTAAATCGCAAATTTTAGTAAACACAACATTTTGGATATCGTGCTCAATTGAATGAAAACGGCAGTTTGTAGTCTAAGTGCATTAAAATGAGCCGACTGAAGTAATGCGTAGATACTTGCCTGATTCGCATTTGATTTCGCTGTAAAAGAAACTCACAATGGTGTAAAATGTTAAAAATGCAGAATTTTTACGTGCCTACCTTCTTGAAATATATGCTATTTAGTATAGAGCAAGTTCATAATTGCAGAACGTTGATAAACGAAGCCACTGTGAGTTTCTGGTAATGCTTGGGAGAGCCATCGTGTGCGTCGCGAGTGTAAGGGATACAATAAAAATATTTACAATAAAAATGTTTACTGTTACACTTGCTTTTTTATTATCGCCTAGTAGTCAAAATTCGACTATAATTAATTTAAATTATATGTTTGAATATTATTAAGGCCCTATTGTCAAAGATTATAGGTACTTCTATAATTACAGATACTGGCATGGGTGGGCGTGTGTGTTTCTATGTGAAACACACACACACACATATAGTAGTGTGTGTAATATTTTTTATTGATATTGTTTTTGTATTGTAATTGTATTTCTGTACTCCTCTATATAAACTATAAGTAAGCGAAACGTCATACTCTACTGGTCGCACAACAAACTTTTTGCTTTTTGTAAGATGACATATAAATTAAATTGGCTTACGTGATATATAAATTAAATTAGGTTTATCTATAAATTTAACATTTTCACTTCTCATAAAGGTCCTCAAGTAATAGGTTAGATTAGATTGATTTAGTTATATTTTCGTTGTTTAAGTTTCTTTTTTCGATTCTCTATTTAGATTTTACGAGACATTTCGTCCTATAAAGCAATTATATTAATGAAACAGCTTATAATTTTTGTAATAAGTTTATTTGAAATTATTGCAAAATGTCGTCTATTTAGCGTTTAAAAAATTAATTACTAATTGGAAAGACATGCGTACCGAAAAATATTAAAACAGTATAAAATTAATTTATCTGCAGATAAATCAGAAATCAATGTATGAAATATAATAATGACTATAATGAAAGCACATGCTAAAATATAAACAAACATTGTATTACTATGTTATTGAAATGTCTCGTTGAAATACAAAAAAAAAGTTTTCGTGTCGTGAAAGCAGTAGGTACATTGATTTCTTAGTCAACAGGCCGAGATTGCGCGAGAATGTGATTACAACCGCTCTGGACCGCAATACGTGCCAACGGGCATTTTTAAATATTTGACCTATTTTTAGTCTCTGCTAATAATAATTAGAAAAGGTAGGTAACGTGAACCTCTCAGCTGGTGAAGCATCCAGTGCGTGAGAAATGTTAAAATTAAGGGACATTTATTTTTTACATTGTAACACCCGTGTTGGTAAAATGCATTACAATAAACGTTACGTTAAATGAAACATGAAAATAATGTCGTAATATTTCCCATAAATTAAATAGAATAGCTGTAATAAATCTAAATTCGCTTAATAAATAAAAATAGTTTGAAAGTTGACACAAAACATTGGAAATTTGGGTAAATGTTAGTAGTAAGCGAGCAACACCGTCTACATTAAAAAAGTTAAAAGTTTGACATTTCTCAGTGGAGTAGTGTTGAAAGTGAACGTGTGTGGTGTTTTCAACTTAATTATTTATTTTTATGTAGTGATTGTGAAAAACCAGTAAGTTTTAACATAAACTTTTATTATAATAACTAGTATATGTATTGACGCTATCTTTCGTGACTATTTACGGCGTTTTTATAGCGGATATCTTTAATATTCCCGGAAATGCCTGTTACGTATTCTTTTTTTTATTTTTATAAAGAAAAAGTTGCGTTGTCTGTCTGATATCGTGGAGCGGTGCATTCCGATGTTATTACGTGGGTGGGGTCATGCACCTACTTAATTTTGCATTTCAGCTTTTAGCGCGCCAACGACGTAATGTCATAAATAAGTGTGCGTTTCCCTAAAAATAGCAGAGCCGGGATGATTGGCAGGCTAAATGACTGAATACAATATATGTCACTAGGTGAGGGTTAGACACCTGAAATTAAAACTCTTTTACCTTAGCCTAAATATCATTTTAAAGTGCTCTTGCTCTCAATTTTTTACTTTTTTTTCAAGTTCAAGACAAGGCATTGAAATTAATTATATTGGTTTGAACACTAGATTAAAGTATAGATGTTCTTTATTTAAAAAACTTAAGTTTAAGCACTTTTAAATAATCACATTCTTTTCTACCAGTCTTTTGGAATAGTTTCGGCACAATAATGAGCAAGAAACTTAGGGAAGTTTCTTGTTCAATTTTTTTGTGCCCTTTAAAGTATTTTTTTACAGAGTATTGTTATGTATGTATATATTATATTATATTGAATACTTAACTTTTTTAATATTAACAGTGCCTATGACTTTATTATTTCATACTACGATTGTATTTAAATGTAGGTATTGTTAAAGAAACTTAGTCATCAAATATTATATATTTTTTATTTGTGTATTTATAGTAGAATAGACTACATTGTTCGCCATTTATTATCAAATAAAGTTGTTTACTCTACATATAAACCAAGTTAACCCTTGGTAAAAAAAAGGATAAACTTATGTTTATACTTTAGAGGGTTAATTTTATTAAAACTATTGGGTTATGGTGAACACATAGATTGACATAAAACTAGTTTTTTCTTCTTACTTTTTATGAGATAAAATATAATTTATGTACATCCTGGTGATACAATCCATTTTTATGTAAAACTTTATTAATTTAATTGTGAAATGGTAAATTTAAAGACAGACATACTTTCGCTTTTGTAACAGTATGGAAGGAATATGTACAATCAAACAATAGTGTTATCACTAGAGAAACCATTTATAACTACATAGATATGTTAATCAATTTCAATATAAAATATAGCCTGTGTTATTCTGATGCATAAGCTATATTACAGTATAGTTTCATCAAAATCCATTCAGTAGTTTTTGCGTGAAAGAGTAACAAACATCCATACTTGCAAACTTTTGCATTTATAATATTAATAAGATTTTATTTAGTAGTATTTAATATTAGTATTAACACATTCACCTAAGTGAGGTAAATACCAAAGTATGCCTTTACCCATTACTGCCCTTCAACCTCTTTATGTTTTACCCAATGTTAGCTGGTAGAGAATGCTATATGGCATTAAGCTCGCCAATTGTGCATTTTTAAACAGAGCAATAAATAATACGCAAATATTTTGAGCAATCAACTTGTTTCCAGTTACATAAAAATGTTATTCCAGTCTCCTTAAAAACTTCTATGAAAAGCTTAGATGGAAGCCTGAAAAATGTTCACCATGGACCTCCACACAACTAGTGTTTCAAGTTTAAAAACTGGCTTTTTTAACGCAAAAGGTTTCAGGAATTTGCAGCTGACTGACCTGACTTCTTCCTCTATCTATCGTCATTCACCGGTGTCGCGCAAATAAATAAAAAATTATAACATCTTTCGATCTCATATGCACGTCATATTTTTATAACAGTATCCTTACCGTCCGCAAACACAAGCATCCATCATATCATAATTTTATCAAAGTATACTATGTAAGTCGACTTTGGATAAAGTGTGCGCAGCTCATAGGATAAGCTGTGTTTCCATTGAAGATTGAAAAATTTTAGTCATCTGGGATAGCAATGGCAATGTATCACGTGCGTCATAGAACAACATGATGTTGTACTGCCGTTCATGTATATAGGTGACGGTTACCACTTACCATCAGGTGAGCCGTCAGTTTGTTTACCATGCAATGGTAAACAAATTTCATAATAATAATAATCTCAGGACAATTCACACAACGCCATCTAGACCCAAGTTAAGCTAGCTAAAGCTTGTGTTATGGGTAGATAACTAGATAACTGATTCAAATACATAAATATATTTTGTTTCGTAAATACATACATATTATACATATAAAACGACGAAACAAACAATTATACTCATGAATACACATGGTGCCATGCGAGGAATTCAACCCTCGACTATCGGAAGACATAAAACCGCTAGACGGAAGACGCAGCGTGGGAAGGCCTCCAGCAAGCTGGACCGACGGTCTGGTCAAGATCGCTGGAAGGCATTGGGTGCGAGCAGCGCAAGACCAATCGTCGAGGAGATCTTTGGGGGAGGCCTTTGTTCAGCAGTGGTCGTCTTCCAAGCTGAGATGATGATGATGATTAAACCGCTAGACTACCGAGGCCATCAAAATAAAAATATATCATTCATTGTGTGGATATCGAACCTGTGACCATAGGAAAGTAATAACGATGTGCTGAACCCACTGAGATTATGGCATATTACGAGTGATGAGCTTGACATAATAGTTCTCTGGTATTATCTTAATTAGTCAGACTATTAGACTATATCAGAACGTTAAGTAAACATACAACTACCTACCATACACATACCAGACTGATAAAGTTACTGCCCATTATTGTGACCAACTATACCATATAGTTCGGGACGTCCCACTTTTTTCCATTTTCGATTTTTATTTATTCTATACTAGCTGTGCCCGCGGTTTCATACGTGTGAAATATATAGCCTATGAGTTATTGTAATATTAATGTAACTATATTACAGTAATCCATCCATCCATCTATCCATAGACATAAACTTACGCGTCTATTATATATATTATAATATTAGAAAGATATATATACTTATATGTTATACTGATGTATAAGCTATATTACTGTAAAGTTTCATCAAAATCCGTTCAGTAATTTTTACGTGAAAGAGTAACAAACGTCCACCCATACTCACAAACTTTCACATGTATAATAAGATGTTTATATACATACATACATAAATTTTTCTACATATTCTGTTTTTTTGCCAAACCACATAAGCTTGTATAAAAATCGGCGACAGACCAAAGGCTGTCTGTACAAAATCGGTCTTTGTATCATTACATAGTATAAAACAAAGTCGCTGTCGCTGTCTGTCCGCCCCTATGTATGCTTAAATTTTCAAACCTATGCAACGAATTTTGAAGCGGTTTTTGTAATAGATAGTGTGATTCAAGAGTAAGGTTTATGTGTATAAAACATATACACCCGTGCGAAAAATATAAAATTGTGTTGGCACACGAGTGGGCTGTTTATCATATGTTTATAAAGCAGTGAACATACATTGGACTCATTGTAATGAATGTTTGTACACTTAATTCAATTACTTATAATGGACCCAATTGTTCGCATTAAACAATATCTGACATAACTGTTTATTACTCGTACATGCTTAATGCATAGTCATTTTGCAGATTATTTTTTTTTTTA